TACTTTGACTTGGCTTCTTTGCCATTCGGAAGATAAAGAGTGATCTGGGCGGTTATACAGCCGTGAGTTACTGAAAAGTTAACAAAAATTTAGCTCACTATCGTTTTCAACGACCTCTACTCCAAAACGAATCAGATCCCCGGAAAAGATTTCTCTGTCAGCAAACTCATCTTCGGATCTTTTAACAATCCTTGTGTTATTGACGAATGTTCCATTGCTACTGTTTGTATCTCGAAGCCAAAACTGAGGGATGGATTGGCGAAGAGTGTTACCTGACCATTTTCAAACCATATCAAGGCGTGGCTTCTCGAAAGGACTTTGCAATCAAAGATGGCGTTATTAGGTGAAGGCTTGACACGAGCCACTGCTCGTCCGACCTTAATTATTTGATTAACAACAACTCTTCGTTCCTGAAAGGGGTGAGAACCCTGCTGACAAGTAAGGATGAGCAATGGATTGCTGGAATGCTGGGCCGAAAAATTAGCAGACATATTAATCAGTCTACAGAGTAATGATGAAGCCCCTAAATAAAAGCAATTTAGAAAATAAAAAATGAGGACTTGAACCTAGAGGTTTAGGCAACGCATATTTTGGTATTCAAAAGATCAAACTTCATGAAAATTAAAATTTACCTGATATAGGAACAGAATAAACATTTAAATTGTCAAGACAGTTATGAGTACAAATAACAGAAACGAAAGTTTGTGAAAAGCAAGGGCAAAAAGAGCGCCTACGAGCACGTAAACGAGTCAAACAAACAAAACGGATATCAGTGTATAATTTATTGAAAAATCTTAGCCCATTTAGTTGTTATATATTTTATACAATATTATATATTTTTGTTGTAAGAAAGATAAAAGTATTTCTGAAGTATCATTTGTACTTATGGTAAACTGAAGTTAAATTAACATCATAAATCCTCACACCTAAATTTAGCGACTATTTAACAGTGGTTCCTAGCTTTAGTTTTAATATTGCATGCAGTATATGAATGATCCTACAATAAAATAAAAAGCAAATATTTCACAATTCACTAGTGTTGTCAGAATAATCAAATCAAGGAGTATTATTATTGTAAAATTTTGGTCAATTTTTTGATACGAGCCAATAAGCATTTCCATAAAAAGCTCAACTATCATGCCTGATCAAGGAGATAAAGTACTCGATTGTGTACACATTTGTAAACGAAGAAAAGTTCCTTTTTTTAAATGCGTGCCTTTCGCAAGCATTAGTCAAATCGTTCATTGAAGTCTGGATACTATTTTTATTATTTATAACATTATAAGGCTCAAACTAACAGCTTTAAAGATGCTTGCGTTATTCGGGTTTTACCCTTCACATAATGTTCATCGACAATTTAGTTGACTCGTGTCTGAATTAAAAATTGCTACCATTAAACCAATATCAATACGATCATTCGTTTTAAAATG